ATAATGACTCATTGGGCCACAGAAGCAAAATGATGCTTGATTATGGTCTTCCCAAGGGCAGTGTCTACATTTAGAGAAAAAAGATGCTACACCATCCTGATTCTGCCATATTATACTAATTTTCTTTTTTTTTTCTTTTTGTCTTTTTTCGTGACCGGCAACGGATCGCAACCCTCAGTGTCGCGCCCGTACCGGACCGGGACCGGCAACGGGATTGCAACCCTTGGCGTTGCGCCTGCACCTCGCTCACCCAGTGAGCGGGAACCGGTCTGTATGTGGGATCCGAACCCTCAGCGGGAGCGCCGCCGCGCTTCCAAGCAGCACACTGTAGCAGTGCGCCACCGGGCCAGCCCCACAAGGTTGTCTTTATTGACGTTCTAGATTTCAAAAAGGACTCCACTGTAAGCAAGAAGCTTCACAAGATTGAAAATTCATTGTAACTACTCCAGGTCTCACTACTTTACAGCCTGATTCATTAGGGTTGGGGGCTTTGTCTATGCAGTGCACATTGTACTTGTGTTATTCAGGCTTTGAAATCTTGCCCTTTTCTTCCAGAGAAACTGCAAATGGAAGAAAATTACAGTTGGCCCTTAAATGGGGTTAGTGGTTTTGGCAAATTTAGGTCAATGATAGGTCAAGAAGGTTGAAGAATCTTCCTAGGTAAAGATAATCAGGATCTGAGAAGGAAAGAAGGGAGCATAAAGAGTGGCAGAAAGTGAGAAGTGAGTGACGTAAGAGCTGAGAACCCCTGGGGACTTGTGCATGTCTTGCTGTCTATTATCTATTCTAAAGCCCAGAATATCTAAAGCAGTGGACTTCAAACTCTGGCAGTGTTCATCATAATTACATGGGGATATGGTTTTTTAAAATGCAGATTCAGGAACTCACCTCCACACCCAGTGAAACAGAAGGGGCACAGCCTGGAAGTCTGTATTTTTAATCGTCAGCCCATTTGGTTCTGATGAAAATGTTCCTTAGACCACTCTTTGAGGAACATTGGCACAGAAAGATCGTCCAGTCTTTCTAAGAATCACTCCTTAAATGCATCCATTCATTGGAGCCAATCCTGGGAATACAGAAATAAAAGGCGTAGTCTTAGGATTCAAAGAGTTCATGGCCTGCTAGCAAAGGCAGACATGGAAAGCATGAATGAGTAAGTCCATAGAGCAGAAAGGGCTGGGTGCTGTGGGAGAACTGCAGAGAGGCCCCAACTCAGCCTGCCTGGGGAGAGGTGCCCATCTGGGAGGAAGGCTGAATAGAGGAAGTAACTACATCTTCCAGGATGGGTGGGCATTAGCCAGGAAGCAGGGAGGGGAGAATTGCAGGTCGAGGAGCTCAGTGGGCAAAAACCTGTGTGGTCTCCAGATAAATGCTCAAGATGAGGGATGGCATAAGGGAAGAGGGTGACAGGAATGGTAGGCCGATGAAGCTGGAGTCTGCACATCTGTCTTTTATAATAAAATGATGTGCTTTCTCACATGGGAAGGTGAGTTACCAACATTTGCATCACTGTAATTGTAAAAGCAGCTAATGTAGCAATCCAGATTGCGGTCTCTGCCCTCTTAGATACAGTATTCTTCATGCAATGGTATTCTCATAAGCTTCCAATTGAGAAGGAATTCAGAAAAACCCAAGGGAATCCTAAATGGTTTCACCTTCTTGTTTCAGTCATTAATTTTGTCATCAGATGGCTTGGACCAAAGTAAAGCTAAAAAATCTAACCAAAAGAGGGAACCAAGTGTCTATGTATAGAACCAGAGAAAACCCTCCCACATTGAATGAATGTTGGTGAACGTAACTTATGTTATCATCAGGTATAAAATACAAATGAGAACATGAAGAAAAATAAAATACCATTCATCATCTGCCTTCATAAGAATTAGGATCAAAAAGTACCTGTATTGCCACTCTCTTCTTCAAAGTTTAAAAGATGGATTTCACTGCCAGATAATCTGCACGAACTAGCATTGTACCTCTCAGTATGTGGTTATACAAACAAGAACAACGGCCAGAAACCGGAGTGGAAATCAGAGCATGCTGTGCTCCATGCAAGAGAGATTTTCTCTTTGTCTAGAAAGAGTCATTTGAATTCAGAATAGAGTTATATCTATATATATATATATATATCTACCCCAGATTCTGTACAGAAAATGTGTGTGTGTGTGTGTGTAAATCACATTCAGCGGTAACATCATATTATAAACGATAATAAATTAAGTCAGTACAATCCTATGCTTGGTGATATCTCTTTTCCTCCAAACTGTGTAGAGAAAATCAAAACCAGGGAAAAAAGGAATAGTACCCTTAAGCTTTCTAATTGATTCCAGCTGTTAACATTATTTATTGCAATCACTATTATCAAGTAGCAAAACACCAATGTCTTTGAACTCCTTGCAGTTGTGTGTAATACTGGAGCCAATGCAGGAACTGATGTCAAGACATAAAACTTACAACCTCAGTCCCCGAGACTGCCTGAAAACCTGCTTGTTTCAGAAGTGGCAGCGGATGGTGGCCCCGCCAGGTACACCCTCGTTTTTTACTCTCTTTCTACATATGTTTTCAGAGGCTTCTTCTGGGAATGAAGTGATATGAAAAGAAAGGAGGTTGTTATAAATTTATCAGGAAAAGTAGGTTATTAGGGATATTCTAACCATGATTTTGGATGTAGAGACATTGAATTTGTGAAGGGCACACATCCTTAGGAATCATCTATGGTCTCCTTGCTTCCAGGTGAGAACCTGAAACCCAGAAAAGTAAGATGCTTGTTCATGATCACCAAGAAGGTCATTGGCAAAGCCAAGATTAGAACCAGGGGTTCCTGTCTCCCAGTCCACAGATCGTTCCACTGGACCAGACTGCTGGCTTCTCATGGCCTAATGCTTTTGAGTTTGGGTTCTTAAAATGATAAAAATTATAAAATGGAAGAAAGAAAGAGAGGATTAGAAGGAGGGGGAGAGGGAGGCCAGGAAGAAGGAAAGAAGGAAGGAAGGAAAAAGTTTATTCTGCTTTTAAAGATATGTTATACCAAAAGGTACTTGGATCATAGAATTCATAAAAGATTCTGTTTCCTGCACTTCCCTAGAATGCTGTTTAGATGCTAAAGTCTCCTGCTGGGGTTCTGAAATTACCGCTTCAAGTCACCATTAATTGTCTTTCTATCTAATACATTTTCACTCCCAGGCATGTGTCGAGCCTCATTGATCATAAAAGCAAAACGTCTCCATTCCCTAAAAATTATTTTTATAAAGAGTAATTATTAACATGAGGCACATAGCTTACTGAATCACAAAATATAATGGTCACTTTCCACTGGTAATTAACCAGGGGCTTTATATAAAATGAATATAGCAGATTTAACCAAGTACATATTTAGAAAGCTGAGAAAATAAGCATTATTTCATATAGAATAGTTACACCCCCATCTCAGGGGAATTTTGGACTTTTAAAATATTGTTTTTCAAATATATTAAGTGTGCTTAAATTGGCCTATTTTCTCTTTCAATATTGATAAGTCTCTATGGAAAAAAGTGCTTCACTCACCAAATGCTTCGAGTACCTATATTTTCCAGCATATGTATATAATTCATATATTATTTATTATTTCATTTATTTGACAATAATTTATTGAGCCCCTATTAGGCATGAGGCACTGCTCTAACCACCAGGGGCACAACACTGAATGAAACAGTCAAAAATATTAAATAGTTATAATAACCTTATAAGATATTTATTGTTTTCCCCATTTTGAATAGTGAGACCTGAGACTTAAAGTACTAATTTGCCAAAGTCACTTTCATAGCTAATAAATAAAGGAAGACTGTGCCACAAAGAGGGGTTTTTTTTGTTTGTTTCATTTTGTTTTTGTCTCCAAAGTCCATGATTTTACTACCACAGCCACCTACTGCTAATGGGAGTAATCCAGAGTGTGCACTTTGGGTACTTTACCCAAAATTCCATGAATAAAGTACAGATACAGGAAAAAAAAAAACTATTTACATTCTTAAGGTCAAAGGAAGAAAATGCTTGTCAGGGGTAGGCCTGGGTGTCTACTTGACTTTAGAATGTTCTACTCAACTCTTCTTCCAACTCCATGAACTGGGACAATTCTATTTTCTGTTTCTGTCATCTTTCAGAACAAGCATTCATAACTTTATTGAAAAAGATGATAGACCCTTTGATGAAAATCTTTGAGCATAAAAGACAAAATATTTACAAGCAAAAAGGATGCTAGGTAAATAGAAACATAATCCCCATCTTCTTCATCAAAAGTGAAGGGTAACTTCTTGGACTAAGTGGTCTTTGAAATGAGCCTTGCTGGATGATGCTCCTCACTGTCCCTCAGAAGCAGCACAGGTGTTCTAAGAAAATGTCACAAGTCCCCCTTGCCTTTTCCAGTATGGCCCTGGCTTGCCTTCTCTCCATCAGAGTCAGGGCTAAAATAGGGTTAGCAAAAAGGATGCTCCTACTTGCCATTTCCAACTTATTCAATAACTGCCTGGAAAAGGCCTCTGAAGCTTTCTCATTTACAAAACAAAGATTAGAATAGCAATACCCAATTAATAGGGTTGTTATACATATAAAATAGTTAATACATAGGAAATATTAAAATAGTATCTGGCATTGAATGACACTCTATACATAATAAACAAACAAACAAATAAGATCCATCTTACCACACATTCCTGTGGGTCCCTATATTTCCATTAAGGTGTTGCTCCAACTTTCAGGTTCAAAAAAAAAATTTTTTTTTTAAATTTTTTAATGGGCCTTTCCAGAAGAGGTCTGGCTTCCCTTCATTAATATGCAAGCTCTACCATACATGCTAAGACATTTTCCCCCAGCAATTTAAAAATTAGTAGGATTTATTAAATACCAGGATCCAAGCCACAAGTATTCCTACTGAACTTGGGAATCCTTAAGCTCCATATTTACAGCTGATAGAACTGTCACTTTCTCTCTTTTTTTTTTTTTAACTTGAGAATATCAAGGTGTAATAAAGATAGGCTGCAATATGATACTTAGCCAGCAGGTGCTGCTGTTGCGCACTGGTTCACTGACTAACATTCATACAAGGGTGCATCACGGATCCTTCATGGTCTGTTCATGGAAGGATTCACGTTATCTTTCAATTCGATTTTTCCACGGACTTCTCTCATACCCTGAAGGTCCACTAAAAAAACCAGGAATCCTCCCTTTGTTATAAAAAGAAGGTAGTCCCGGGAAAAAAATCTTCCTAAGTTCTCTAATAGCAATAATAGATTCAATTATTACAGTGGTACCTGTAGCTCACCCCTAAAATATACTAATAAATTGCAGACATATAACTATGTAGAACAATTAAATAAAAATTATGTTATCTCCATACAAAAGAAAAGAGTTTCACACATTTTATGCTAATAATAAATCAACAGCTTTCTGCTTTTATTTTTGTACAGTTACAAGAAATAAAAAAAAAAAAATTAAATGGTCTACTCTTTTCAATTCACAAAAACAGCTTCTCTGGAGAGACAGTATGCTGGTGGTCACCTTGATGCTTTTGCCCTGGAACTGATCCGTCTTCCCCTTTTCCTTATTGCAGCAGAACCCACAAGGCAACCGACAACCAAACGGAGAAAAAGAAAAAATTCCACCAGCAGCACTTCCAACAGCAGTGCTGGCAACAACGCAAACAGTACTGGCAGCAAGAAGAAGAGCCCGGCCGCAAACCTGAGTCTGTCCAGTCAGGTACCTGTAAGTCTCGCTTTCCTTTTAGGCCTGAAATCCTGCCTTTGCCTGTCTTTCTACTCAATGGGCCTGATTAAACTCTCTTTTAGCTGCTGCAAAAAAGATCCTGGGCAGGCTGGAGGTGGGGGGAGGGGGAGGACAGGCAGGGGCAGGGATTGGGGTGGGAGGGAGGAACTCTGCCACGGAAACTTTCCCCTGCAAACCGGGAATGAGAAAGGAATATTAAGAGTCTAGGCTGCAATGGGACCTGAATTAAAAAGCCATCAGAGTCACAGACAGGAGATATGTCCCTTAAGATTTAATTAAAATATCACTTAGCAGCATGCTGGTGGCCTATCAGGGCCTCTCGGTACCATCATGGGAGACCCCGTGCTCCATTGGAGACTAGCTCCCAGCTCTCAGGCTCCTGCTGTAATTTGGCCTGCCCTTCCCAAAAACTCAGGTAATTAATTTGCAGCCACTGAATATGCAGCTCAATGGATTTTGCTGCTTTACCCATTTCATTAGCTCAGGGGAAGGATCAGCCCCTGGTTTGGTCTCAACTCTCTTGACCCCTTGACCCCTTTCTTTCATGTCTGGGTCTTGACAAAGGCCATTTGGAAGGGAGCTTCTTTTAACCCCAAAGCTGATAGCTGAGGGTAGTCCCCAAATAGAGTAAAAAGTGCAGAAACTTTCTTCATCTCCCATTACTTCTCCAGCACTGTCCCTGCTACATAATTCTTTCCTGTCCCCCGATTCCCCCACCCAGGGTCAGACCACCGCTTCTCAATTCTCACGCTCCTTTAAACATCTGCTGTCCCTTCTCCCCTCCACGATTCCTTGTGGGTTTTCCTCTCTGCTGCTCTTCTCACACCACCATGTCTCCACCAGGTGTTTTGACTGTCATTTGAATCCTGACACTTTCTGGGTGCTCCAGGGATACCCTCTGGACACTGCGTTTCAGAAGTGTGCCCTGTTTCTTGTTACTTCCTTCCACCAGTACCACGTTACCTTCTCCGTCTTTCTCACGGTTTTCCCTTTTTCGTCTCTTGTCCTCATCCTTCTTGTTCTGATCCTGCTCCATCCCGGTCCACGTCACAGTGGATCTTTACACAGGGACTCCTCACTTACTTACAAATGTGCCTTTCAATCTGCCCCCCACCCACCTTTACCCACCTTCCACTGGTCAGTTCTCTTTGTCCAAAACCAACCCCATCGGTACCTTGAGAACTCCCTGGGCCACTGGGATTCTTCTCCTGCCTTCTGCAGACAGGGCATATAGTTTCCATTCCTGTTGCATTGGAAAGAAAGGATCATGGAGCAAATGGCCAGCCTACGATGGAAGGGGCCATTTTAGTTTTAGGGCCACCAGGAACTGTAGTCCCCACATAATGAAAATAGTCCTCAAGTAGTTTTCTATTTTCTTAACTGAGTTTTACAACTGTCACCCCTGAAGTTCAGGGAAAAATCAAAGGAGAAAAACAGTCTCTTTATTGAGGTACCAACAGGTTATGCCCACTCCTGGTTAAATTGGAAAATGCATAGAGAAAATGGCCTGATGTAAATGCATCAACTGAGAAAGTATGTGCAAGTGGCCATCTCTCCTGCCGGTCACAGAGTACAGTGTTGAGAAGGATTCTGAGGCCTAGTCTGGGTTCGGTGGGCCATCCATTAGTGATGTCTGCACGGTATAGAAGTTGAGAATAGCAGCCTACATGTCATGTATTTTGATGTAGGTGGTCTAGTCGAACTCATTCCAATTTTATTTTAAAGAGCACATAGTTTTTTCTACTCTATTCTGGTCCTGTCCTCCAACCAACAACTGCATTTTAGTGGAGGATACCTGTGTCGAGAGGGTTCTTAATGAGTTGAGACCCTTTGGACTTTGTGTGAGCAAGACACCATTAGAAAGTGAGAGTTGAATTTCTGCACTATCCCCATGCCATGCGATTAAAGACGTTTTAATTAAGTAAAACTTTTAGGTGGCCAAGAGAGGCTGGGAAGACAAACAGGTTAGGAAAATATGCAAATTCTCGCATGTCCTCGAATTGAATAGAAGTTAAATGATAAGCATTGGGTGGCTTGTAGCGACCACACCTTTAACCCTGTCTGCTGAATGATCAACCCTATCTTACTGTTTAAATAGAAATGCTCTCTGCAGGCATTAGCTGCCTGGTCCGAGAGCGTGTGCCACTACGGCCCAGCTGTGGTCTATGTCGCTGCTGAGGCAGCAATGTGTGTGTCTGGTGAGGACTAGGGTTTAACCCTTGGATTCTGCTTCTCACTCCATGAGCAGGGGCTAGGAGCGATCCCGACCTGCAGCCTCAACCCTGGGAGGGATGGAGACCTGTGTCATTCAACAGCAGTGACCCCTTCTGGCCAATTTAAGGAGAAGCATTGAGGGGCCCTGAAAGGAGTCACTTCCAGTCCTCCTCAGAGGTTGGTGGTCCTTGCACAGGGGATTAGTGAGAGATGTGAAATGGGAAAGAGCTGGTGGCACCTCCAGGCTTCCAGGGGTCGGCCCTGTGGGGAGCCAAGGGCACAGATGCATCACGATCGCCTCCCGTGGGACACACAAGATAGAGATGGGGAAGACATGCCTCTCTCTACCAATGTTGGGGGGATTTTTAAAGATGTGGGGGTGGGGAAAAATGCTGCTATCATCCCCTAGCCAGACATAGCCCAGAATGTACGTTGTGCCTCCATTTATTTTGTGTGACGATAAGAAATCAAGACTGCCAGAGCAGAGAATCACTATCCTAGTCTAGAGGTTCAGAAGAACCAAATGGAAACGTACATGATTTCATAAGTGGCTTCAAGTATCTAAGTACACGTGAAGTCCTCAGTGCACGTGTCTTTTATAGCTTGTCATCTATCAATCATGAGTGCACACAAGCACACATGATTATTATTTATCTGGCTAAGGATATTTAAGTAAAGCAAATGTGGCATCACTCTGAAATTTAGGATGCTTAAAAACACCTATGCCTGGGCATCTTTCCCAGCTGTTCCTAGAACAAAGATTCACCAAACAATTACAAGCCTCTGTCAGCCTTCTCTGAAGTGATTTAAACCATTATTTTCAGAGTAATTTTCTTGAATAACTGTTGTTTTCTAATACAATGAATGCATCTGGAGTGCTGGGAACTTTTCTTCTATTGTCATGCTTACCTTGGCTGCTTCCTGTTTTTCTACTCTTTCTGTTCAAATCATGCTGACCCCTTCATACTCTCCCAGCATCTCTCGATGACCTTGGAGTCTCAACACTAATGCTGACCCATGTGGGTGGTTCTAACATCCTTCTGCCCCGTGACACCTTATGCATGTGTTTTCCAAGCCCTTCAAAGTATGCTGCACACGAGTCATGAGATGAGGTTAACCCTCGTGTCAAGCTCTGGCCAATCTTGCCCTATTCTTTCCATCTACCTGTGTTCCTGATCATAAGTTCAATCTCCTAATTGCCTGTAACTAAGTGACACTTTTTTATCCTGAACACCCCCAGTGTGTTATATGGCAGCTGCCTGGCTAACCCAATAATGTTCACGCCTCTGTGGTGGCCACACTCTAAAACCCCGTCATCGTTCTTGCCAATCAAAAAGACTATGTCTATTTTGCATCTCACCTTAAGAGTCCTCCTGAATCTCCTTACATGTCAGTGTCATTTCTGGTTCTTTGTTGCATAATAAATATGATCACGGAAGCACACATCTGAAAATCTTGCCAGCAACTTTGTTGCTGAGTTTACCAAGTTCACATTTTAAGCATTTATTCCATCTGGGAAATTTCTCTTTAAAATCATTTTTATCAACTCAAAAGTCAGAAAACATACTTTGAAAACCTATTGATTATCTCCCCTAACTCAAAGGGAATAAATGAATGAATGAATGAATAAATAAATAAATAAATAAATAAATAAAACCAGATTTTCCATTCTGAAATAGAACAGGTGGTAATTAAAGGATATTCAGTGGGCACTTTCAAAAATCTAGAAGGGATCTGGAGATCCTCCCACGCCCTTCTCCTGACCATAGGCAGTATTCTATTATACCACCCTAGGAAAGCTTTCTCCTGACAAAGCCCCAGTGATAAGAATTTTTGCCCTGTTGTCAAAGGGGTTTCCTGAATTAGCCTCCTGGCCAGGAAACTCACCCTTCCCATCTCCAAAAGCATCTGGCTCAGCTCTGCTTTTCCTGGCCTCAGTAGAGGCTTATCGCAGTTGGTCACTCTCCTGAAGTCACTGCACTTTTAAGTAGAGTGTTGTTCAGACTCTGCCCAGAAGAATCCACCTGCCAGATGTCCTGTCCCATGCCTAGGTCACCCATCAACCCCATATGGTCCCCTTTGAACAAAGAGACCAGAGCTGTGCCCTGTGCATGCATCTTTCTCCCCATCCCTGTGGCTCTCTGGCTGTGGCTTCCATGGCACTCCCAGCTACAGGAGGTGGCTTGTTTGCATGGAAGGACAATTTGTACTTAAAGGAGTGATTAGACGGATTCTTCTTGCACGCTTCCATTTCCGATGACTACCAGCTTCATCAGTGTAATTATAATTAGCACTACTTCATCTTCCTTTCATGGCACCAGCTGGACAGACTGGTTCTCTTTACTGCCCAGATTGGTGGCAGGGTTGCCTGTGTGGAGATAGGTGACAGGCTCCATGAAATAACAGATGGTAAATTCAGGGCTTGTTGGCAATCAGCAGGTTTTTGCTAATGACTTAATTAGCTATGCAAATTGTCAAATCAGTGTGAACATTGTTTTTATCGAAAACTTTACCTAAATTAATTACCATAATTAAGTAGAGAATGTCAAGGATATTGGCTGCATAAGAGGGCCTGGCTGAGTAGAGAAAAGAGAGATTCTGTCTTCAATTAAAATGTATGCCCTGCTTGGGACAGAGAAAAAACCATTTGGAATGAGTTGAGTGAATATCACAGAATCGCACCTTACGCATGTCTGGTCACTGCTAGTTTCCAAAGCCACTCACAGGCCCTAAACAAAAGTGGTGGATTTTTGGAGGTATTGAAAAGCACCCAGCAGAAGGTTCCACAGCCCTCTCAAAAGTCCCCAATGTCAGCAAGTTCAAAGCGTGGATTTTTTTAATTTTGAAAAATCCATTTTTTTATTTCTGCAGATTGCTAGCATTGCTCGTTCTCCGGTGTCAGGCTGCGCACTAAGGACATAAACTCGCGTGGTTGTTACACATCAGGAGGCGATGTTTATTTCCTGTAGAAATCAAATATGCGTCTTGGCCCCCCGGCATTGAGACTTGACCCTGTTGTACAGTACACGCGTGTGTCTGTCCTAGATTCCCCAACACCTCCCACTATTGTTTTAAGCTGCGCTTCTCTCTCCCAAGGTTTCCCTGTAATAATGTCAGCTGCTGTTCACAGGATGTGATGGTGGTAGGAGAGCCAACTCTGATGGGAGGTGAGTTTGGGGACGAGGACGAAAGGCTAATCACTAGATTAGAAAACACGCAATATGATGCGGCCAACGGCATGGACGACGAGGATGACTTCAACAATTCACCCGCCCTGGGGAACAACAGCCCGTGGAACAGTAAACCTCCTGCCACTCAAGAGACCAAATCAGAAAACCCCCCACCCCAGGCTTCCCAATAAGATGATCAACACCACTGTCAATAGGCCCGTGGGTGATAATCACCATTTCAGATCTTTGCTTACAGGAGAGGAAAGAGGATTTTCCAAGCAGATATCTATTTCTAAACAACAATGATCTGATTTTCTTTCTTTCGTTTTGTCTTTTTTAATTGAGAAGATCATTCCAAATAAGCTTCCATGACCCTTCCTTGGAGGCCTTTACAGGTAATGCAGATACTGGCACTGATTGTAATTAAAACAAGAGAAAATGCTAACTCATCTACTGGCACGGTTTTAACAATGTGTTTGTGTTGAATTTTCTTTTCATGCATCAGACCAAGGCCATATTGTTTATAAGTGCTCAGTGCTCAGGATCTCATTAATATGCCGAACCTAACGACAGGTGACTTTTAATATTGTAAAATATTTTCTGCTTTTTGACTTGCATCTGAGAGTTTCTTGTTTCAGTAAAAAAAGAAAAGAAAAAAAATCAGCTTTTCGAACGTAATTTAAATGTACCTTTATTTTTTTTTTTTTCTTCACCTTTTCCTTCACTGGACAACAGCTAAGAGGGCCTAGCCAAGTAATTTATGGTCGAGCTGATGTCAACTGGTTCTCAAGTCAGTTGGTTCAATTTAGCCCAAATGCTGAAACAAGAAATGTCTTTTTGTCATCAGAGACACCAGGGCTGATTTTTAAGTAAAGAAAGGCAGTTGGACCCTTGAGAATTTATGCATTTGTAGAGTTGCTGTTGATCCAAATATTTTCAAGCCATGTAATCCATTAATTTTGTGGGCAGTTTAATAAATCTGAAACTTATTTGTGTTTTTTTTTTAATTGTATCTGATTTGACCATTCTTCCTTTTCATAGTATATTTCTTGTATAATATTTTGTAAAGCCCTCACCTCGTTCTTTTATGGGGACTTTTCTCTTTGGGCAATTCCAGTGTATTTATGTGAAACTTTATAAGAGAACTAATTTTTTCATTTGCATATTAATATGTCCCTCCACACATGTAAAGACACAGTGGCTCCGTGTGTTAAAAACAGCTGTATTTTATGTATGCTTTACTGATAAGTGTGCCAATAATAAACTGTGTTAACTACCAAAGAAAGTGAATCTGGCTATTTGTGTATGTGTGCAGAAATATGCCCACGATTATAAGAAGTATTGAGCTTAAAATTATGGTCTAGCGAACACCTGCATGAAGCAGGTTCACTGTGTACTGGTTACCAACTTGTCTGAGTCCGAAGGGACAGAATATGCTCATGTGCAACAAGTTACATGAAGTAGGTTTATTACTCACAGATAGGCAGCAAGGGACAACAGAATCCTAGGATTCATGAGAGCCAGTCCCCCAAGACTCAGGAAAGCTCAGGGCAGAAGGAGTCTCGACTTGTGTATCCTACTTGCTCTGCAGTTGAAGGACCCTGGCAAGCAGCCCACTCTGGATTTTATACCCCAGGATCACATGAGTCACTGTGCTGAAGTGTGGAAGGGCATTCTGTTTCTGAGGGGATGGGCTGGAAAAGAGCTTGAGATGTTCCAGCCAGTCCCCCCTTATTCCCAGCACATTTTACAGTTAGTATTGAGAACTACAAGTGAGAAAGTGGGGACAACTAAGTTGGTCTAAAGCCACTGGAGAACTGTCCTGAAACCTGTGCCATCTTTTAGAAGTATGGTTGGTTCCTTTTCTTGCTCACTGCAGTTTCTTGAGCAGATGCAGGAGTGCCTTCTCTGTGCTGAGCACGTGCTGGTTGAGAAAAGGTGCTGGTTAATGAAAAGGATGGACTGGCCCATGCTCCTGGAGCTTGCAGTCAAACAGAAAGGCAGTACCTTCCCCTCACTGAGTGCTTTCTCTGCACTAGGGAGCACTACTTAAGGCTTAGAAACATTATTTCAATGAATCCTTACAATAGCTCCATAGAGTAAGTGTTAATGTTCTCATTCTTAAAAAGCAATGTCTCTCTTGCTTGCTTTTCTCAAAGATTTCCTATAGAGGGTATAGAAAATTCACTTGAGAATCTTTTGTGTTTCAAAACATTCCTCATGTTTTTCTAATTTGTACAAGTGAGGATATAAGAGAGGAGGTCTGTTATCATTTATTGAGTGTTTATTAAGTGCCAGACAATTTTAATTTATCATCTCAGCAAATTCTGGAAAGGGGGTTTGAAAATGGGAAGCTAAGTTTAGGATCTCCAGAAGCAGAGCCTAAGACCGAGATTTGAGGGCATGAGATTGATTAAGAGACTGTTCTTCAGAAAAAATCCTTTAAAGGAGTGGGGAAAGCAGGACAGGGAAGGAGAAAGAGCCAAGAAAAGCTGGAGACCTAGGTAGTCTATATCCTGGGCCTGACACATAGGAGGAGGGCTTTGGAGCATAGACCTCAAAGCAGAATTGTCCCCTCTTGTGCTAGCAGCCAGCCTTTTGTGCACCTGTATCAGTCTGTCATTGTATGGGGACAACCCCCACGGTGTGTGAGGAGACTAACCTTCAGAGCAAGATGGTCTGCATCAGCTGAGGGCAGTTCTGCAGAGAAGAGGTCAACTAGATGGCACCAGTCACTGCATCTTGGGATGAGTGTTCTGGCTTCATAAAGGACATCAGAGTGGGGGGGGGGGCAAAGCATCTACCCCATTTAGTGAATTGCCCCCAGACTTCAGGACTGACACAGTTGGGATTCGAATCTGGATGTCCCTTGACTACAAAGTCTGTTTTTTTCCTAGTACATCACATTGCCTCCCTGGAACATTAGCATTTTGTAGAAAATGTGCAGTGCAAAGCAACAGAGCCCAAGGAAATAAAGGGAAATAGCTGCTTGATTGCTTTCCCACTACAGTACTCTAAGAGAACTTCCAGGGTATCCCCTGCCCTGCCTCACCACTTTAAGTTTTTTTTTTTTTTTTCATCAGTTCTTTAAAGTCACCCAGATGTGCAATCATTATAGAGGATGCTTAGGACAATTTATTTAACACCTGTTCCAGTTATCCGTTATTGTACAGCATATCAATCCAAAATATACTGACTCAAGAGAACAATTTATTATTATCATTTACTCTTCTAAGAGCTCATTGGCCTTTTCCAGGTGGTTTGCACTTTAATGTCTCAGATGCCAGCTGGGGGTGAAGTCATCAGAGTCTTCACTAGGCTGGGCATCCAAGATGGTACATTCACAGTGCTGGCTATTGGGTAGGAGCTCAGCCAGTGTTGTTGACTGGAGTGCATTTATATAACCTCCCTGTGGGGTTTTCACAGAATAATGGTTGGGTTCTAAGAGGTTGTGTCCCAAGAGCCAGCATCCTAAGACAGAGAAAACATAAATCACCTGTGCTGAGAATGGCACTGAGTCACTTCTGTATGCGATCCATAAAAGCAATCACAGGCCATCCCAGATTGAAGGCACCAAGGGATAGACTACACTTGATGGGTAAGTAGCATGCACATACCAGAAGGGGAGGAATTAGGAATTAGTGGCAGCCACTTTTGAAAAAAAAAAAAATCTACAATATACAAGGCAATTTATGACCTGGCCTCAGCTTACCTTACAGTTTTATCTTTAGCCTCTCCCCACTTGTACATGATTTACTATCCACCCTAGGCTCCTCTCTATTTTTTGAATACACCAAATACTCATGCCTCATGGGTCTTTTATGTGTTTTTTCTCTTAGAATGCCATTCCCCATGTTCTTATGTAACAAAAGCTATTCATCTTTAAAAGCTTTGCTTGATTCTCACATCCATTGAGATGTCTCCCCAGCTCTGGTTGGGGCTCACTGTCCTCTCTGGGGTCCTAGAGCACTTACTTGCTTCTTGGTTCTATCTCAGCTCTTTCCTTACAAGTTTTTGTTGTTGTGTTGAATAACCCTCACTGTCCCACCGGACTTTTCTAGCTCTGAGAAGTTAAATCATTTCATTCTTTATTCTTAATATCTAACTTGGATCATACATGTTGGTGGGATAGATATGCTCAAAAACTCCCAAGCAAGAAATCATGAAACCTCTGTCTACCGCACATTGTCTTAAGTTTCAAACAGTCTATAACTCTATGGCACAACTTTGGGATGACATTTATCCCTGTAGGTATGAAAGAAGGTGTATTAGTCTGTTTTGTGTTGCTGTAACAGAATACTTTAAACGGGGTGATTTATAAAGAAAAACGACATTTATTGCTTACAGTTTCTGAGGCTGGGAGGTCCAAAGTCCATCTGGTGGTGGCCACGGTGACTCAGGGTCTCACATTGCAAGGTGGTGGAAGCAGAGAGATTAGAGAGAGAGACAACAGACAGACAGACAGACTCTCTTCTCTCTTGTTTTAAATCCCTCAGAATCATGACCCTGACCACCATTACTAATCCATTCACCACTGCACGGTCCTACAATCCAATCACCTCTTCAAGACCCCACCTTTCAATTGCCATAATAGGATTTCCCACCCTCTTAACAGTCACAGTGGGAGCCCAGTTTCTAATACATAAAACCTAGGGGGCACAATTAAAGCTTCAGAGAGTTTTGGGGGACATAATTCAAACCACTACAGAAGGTGAGAGGTAGACAGACGTGTGTGTTCAAGTTTCTCGGAGGTCAAATCAGCACAAAACAAAGATTTTGCAAGGCATTGTTCAAGCTTACCTTCTATCATAGAAACCTCATTAGATTTGTTGGGCATGGGACAATCACAAGGGTAACCATTTATTAAGTAAATAACATGTGCCAGTCACCTGCCAAATGCTTTACCTCAGTGGTCTCAAACCAGGAGCCCCAGAGTGGGGCATGAGTTGGGTTTTGCTTTGTAATAATCTCCAAATCTCAGTGACCTGTAATAACCAACATTTTTTTCTCACTGAGGAAACTGTGGGTCATCTGGGGCAACTCTACCTTGGG